TCTGTTGTGATTGGTCAACCTGCTTAGAGATGTCCCGCCCCTTAGCCTATCACGTACAATGTGTTGGAGCGCTAGCCAATAGAAGCGCTACTGTTACACAGTGATGTCACTATGTTCCGGAAGTAAACAAAGGAGTACAATGGAGACGTTTCAGACCCCATTTACACGCATACGAAACGCAAACGAACCGAATACGATATCAAAAAAGTCTTCCGTTCACACAAGACCGCTCGGGAGCGCTGGAGACGCTGTAGTACATATTCCGGGCCTGTAAGTGGCGCTCTACTTTTGCCACAAAATACACCAAAAGCAGCGAAGAAGACCCCCGAGCATGGTTGCCCTTCTGTTTATGCCCCGCGGTGGATTTAGCAACATGTAGTTCATGTAATTCTCCATGTCCACTTGTTGCTGATGGTTGTGGAAGAGGAGCTGTAGATTTTGCACTAACATCTGTAGCATGGTCAGTAACTACTGACCATGCTACAGATGTGAGCAGTAGCTACTGACCATGCTACAGATGTGAGCAGCAGAGGTGGGGAGAGGCGGGGCTATGGCTTCATCGTTATCAGGAAATGATCGTATAGGGCGTAGGCACCAGCCAGAGCGTTCCGTTTGCAGATCTATCCACCTTGGGACTCGTTATCGTTTGCGGGGTCCGTTTCTGCGTTTCCGTTACGGCCTCGTGTAAACGAACGGGCTATACGAAAGAGAAAAGTAGCGGATAAAACCATTTGCGTTCTTGTGTAAACAGCACCTCAGCCTCTGGAGGAACACAGGGATTTTAGCCTCTGCAGACCATTTACATGCACTAAAACCTACAGAACACACTCCAGAAAGCGAAGAATAACAGGGCCTCTTTAAAAACCAGATTAAAAACTTTTAATAAATGTGTTTTCACCTCATAGGATTTGTTCCTGTGTGTAACTAAAATCTAAATAAGTTTCTTTATATCTGCTTACAACACATTTTAGTGTGTATTACTGTAAATACACTGCTTATTAAAATAGTGCAGCAGCTCACAGTATGATGGGGATTAGCTGTACAACAGGGAGAAATATAAAATATCCGTGCCGAGAGTTTAATCCCCGAGCAAACAAAGGTTAAAATAACTCCTCACACAGCTGATGTGTGACGGCCGCTGTTTGTTGTTTGTCTCCTCCTCTTCATTTCCTGCTGGAGAATCAGCCCGTTCTTCTTCTTCTTTTTCTTCTGCAGCAGAATCTCATTAAAGAGAGCCTCGGGGTAAAGCGCTTTAAATCCGCTGTCAAACAGGAAACATGCGAGACGGAGTGTTTTCTACACTCGTGTACAATTTAATTTGTGAGGATTGTTTTTGTTGTGGATGAGCCAAAGGTGGATTTGTTTTCACTGCTGTTGCTGCAGCTCTTTTCAGGACGGTTGCATTATATTATATATATATATATATATTATATATTAGTTCTCACTATTGCATGCTTCCTGCGTTAATCTGTGCAGGTCAATGGAAGCAAGGCAAGGTTACAGGTCCATTTCTCTGCAGCTCAAATTAAATGGAGAGGAAAATTCCATCTGAATTTGAGCATGTTTTGTTTATTTTACATTTCTCAAAAAACCTGCAAGCAGAATATCAAAGGACAAGCAATCAGCCTAATGGACTCTGCACTAGTTATTTTACATTTTCTTTCATTGTCTATTCTGTTTTTACGAGCACTTGATTTCAGTATGACAATACTAAGACAAGTCAAAATAATAAATAATAGATTGTTCAATGGAACATGACATAACTAAATATGTCAACATGTGTCTCAATGTAATGTTGGTTAATCCCCCAATGTGGGTCAGAACTGAAAGATCTCTGGAAAAATGAAATGGATTGTCAATACATTTGGTATTTATTCAGGTTTCCAAGGGGATGAATCATACTGGGCTCGGTTGGATTATTATTGTAATTTCCTTAATCATGAATATTTATGTGAGCTAACTCCACCTGCGAATGAAGGTCATGAGATGTGGCAAAACGTATTGAAGAAAATAATCAAATAATATAAAAAAAAACTGTTTTCATGACTTTGTAACCAGTTTAACCTTTAATGTGTTTTTTTTCCCTCAACACTTTGATAGGATTAGTTCCCGTGTGTAACTGATAAACATAAGACTGAAATATCTCTGGAATAATAAGGGATTGTCACGAAATGTGGTAAAACATTCATGTTCAGGATGAATCTTACTCATGTTGTTGCTCAAGCTAACAGGAGCTAGCTGGCTAACAGAGTGCCACAGTGACGCGTCCTAAAACCCGGAAGTAAGTTAGCATTTTACCACTTCCGGTGGTATACAACCATCTTATCGATAGATTTATGATCAATAGATTTATGATTCGAAAATTATAAAAGTAGGGTAGACATGTGGAAATTATCCGGCTGAATAAAACGTGATCTGCCTCTTAGATGTGTCTCAACCACAGACCTTATTTCCAGCTACGTATTTTCCAAAATCCTATGGAGAAATTGCATTGGTTTTTGTCGAAGGAACCGGAAGGAGTTTACTTCCGGGTTTTAGGACGCGCCACTGTGGCACTCTATTGTGTTAGCTGTTGCTAAGCTTGCTAAGGCTGCATTCATACCAGATCAGACGCCAATAAACTGCATATATAATAAATGTTTCTCTCCCACAGGTTTCTACATGTACATCGAGACGTCGAGGCCGAGGCTGGAGGGGGACGCGGCCCGGCTGCTGTCTCCCACCTTCAACATGAACTCCAAAACCTCCTCCTCCTCCCCGGTCAACACCAACCCCACCTACTGCTTCTCCTTCTACTACCACATGTACGGGAAACACATCGGTAAGTCTGCAGCACGGTCTGTCTCAGGTACTCGGTATAATACAGAATACAACGGTTATGTGACCATGTCTTCGGTGAGAAGCCAGAAATAAGGTCTGTGGTTAACAAAAGCGGAAAATATATTTACATTTTATTCTAAAAAACTAAATATTTCAGTGAATACCCCACTGGTGAATTCAAAAACAGCAGCTGCTAACAAGTGACTAAATGAGACGACTAGGCCTTTAGCTTAGCGGTGGTGACGTGAAGTCATGAGACTGCGCTGAAGTTCGTCGATAGCCTAATGTTAGCTTTTAGCTTCTGGTGGTTACATTTATGCTTCAAAAATCGTGGCATTAATATGTGGGGATTATCCTGCTCAACAAAACGTCTAAGTATCATAAACGTTTTTTTCAGATTTTCTTTTCTGCAATATTCCAAAATCCAATGGAAATTCCCATTTGGCTCTTTGTGGAGGGAACCCTTAAGATGCTTACTTCCAGGTCGCACGCAAGACATACGTCATCACTGCACAGCCATATAATAAATAAAGCCATGCTTGTTGTCTAAGCAGATTGTGAGAACTTTGAAGCAAAACTCCTGATTCTCTTTAAAGTGATGCATTGTGGTTAATCTTTGGTAAATCTTGTGACCTTCAGTGAAGACTTATTAGTTTATAACAACAATAAAGACCGGACCCTGTGTGTTCGTGTCTGCAGGAGCTCTGAACGTCTTTCTGCGTCAGAAGACTCAGACGGTGACGGACACATCCGTCTGGAGTCTGGCCGGTAACCAAGGAGACCGCTGGCGACGAGCCAAGGTCAACATCCACCCAACCGCACCTTTCCAGGTACAAACCCCCCCGCCCCCGCTTTATTTCAGCACCCAGAGGGCACCTGTATGGATCAAAACATCAACAAAAACTGTTATTATTTAACATTATTTTCATTTTTGATAAATCTGTCAATCATTTTCCCAATTCTCAATCAGTTGTGTGATTTAAAAAGTGCAAAATGTGAGTCTATTTACTAAAATGCCATACTTAAGTAACAGTTTTAAGTACATTTTTGAGGTACTGTTTCTGCTACTATATACTTGTACAGCTTTAGTTACATTAAAATGCAAACATTGTAGAAGGTGACTTGTTGGGCTCTGCGTAATCTCACAATTTTTCCTTTAAAAAAACAAAACAATCTATTAATGGAGGAACTAATCAACAGTTTAATCCATGATGAAAATAGCTATACGGGCTCTTTTTCACCCAGCTACAAACGTAAAATGCTGCTTTTACATCAACCATGACTCATAATAATTTAATGATAGAAAAATAATAACATAAAAGGAGAATGTTATTCATGTTCTTGATTACACTAACATACATTTACCTAAAGAAAATGTTCAATGCAGAACTGTGTGCTGTTCCAGAGTACCTTCACAGTGTGGTATTATTACTGTTACTGAAGTAAAAGGTTTCAGTAATGCTCAGTTTCCTGTCTTCCTGTGCGGCAGATGGTGATGGAGGGAGTCCGAGGCGCAGGCATCGAGGGAGATATCGCCATCGATGATGTAACCATCGAGGAGGGCGAATGTAAAGACCCTCCCCCAAACAGTGAGTATCATCAAGTAAAATAGAATCTAAAAAAAGTGATATTTTAAAGTAGGAAAACATCAGGTTGGGAGCCCCAGCTTCAGGTCTGCCCACAATTTCAACTGAATTTCCAGAAAAACGTGAATCAATGCTCTTATTTTTAAACTTCTCTCTCTCTCTCTTCCCACACAGATCTAAGGTCGCTTGCTCCTCCCTTATCACCCCATATATGGCAGCTGTGCATCACTCTGAGTCTGGCTCTGATTGGCCAGCAGAGGTGACCCCCCCTCTCGACAGGACGCCACATCCTTTGACTCTTCTTACCCTCCCTTCAATCCCATCATCCCCCATCATTAAACAGCCCCCCTCCCCCCAACTACCAAAGATAAGGTCAGAGCTTCAGAGAGGGCTGGCACAAAAGGTCAGGAGGTCACATGGAGACACGTCAGGTTAGCTGCTTCTAAATGCCTTCACTCTTTATGCTAAGCTAACAACATCCTGACTCTAGACACTTAACTCAGACAGCCAGAGAATAAGTTCACTTACTAAAATATCAAACTTTTAACTTTCAATTTTTGTGCATTTAAATGGTCTTCAAAGGCTAAAATCCCTGTGTTCCCTCAGGGAGAGCTACTGATATTACAGCGCAAACACACCCATGAAGTTTTGCAGCTTAGGGCGATTATTCATGTGGAAGAGTATACATGTTGCCTTTGTTCCAAGACAACAGTAGGCAGAAAAATTGCAGAGTTATACCTCAAAACTATGTGTGCATTCCCCCCTGAGTGAGTGTTAAAACAATAAGAAATAGTTTGTAAAAAAGTAGAATAACTGCCAATCATCCAACAGCATTTTAAGAACATTATTTTCAAAGCAACTTCTGAAAATCACTTATTTGGTATTTCACCTTGATCCGGTTTCTCCTGTGATAATTGATGACCTTTGGTTTCAGCTCAGCGTCACAAAGCACAGAAAAACAGGCGCTTCAGTCAGAAAAAGAGGAAATAACAGCTTGAATGTCAACCTTCCTAAACACCCACCATCATACCACCCCACTCATACCTCCCCCCTCCTTACTCCTTACCCTTCTACAGATCAACAGTACTGTAACGCAAGCTGGACGGACGAACTGCATCTCTCTGTTTTTGCGGGGGAAGTTGACTTTTTTTCAGTGGGAGGTTACGACAGTATTTTAAAAAACGAAAGAACTTGAAGATGTTATTTTGACGTCTGTCTGTCTGAGGAGAAGTTCCCTCTCTGCCACGACATCAAGTGCCTTCAGACTCGCAGAGTAAAAGAACGCAGAAAAAATATAATCGAAAAAACAAGAGACCGTCGGACATCGTTATGTCTTAATGGCCAAGGAGAAGAAAACAACCAATTCATATTTCTTGGTCTAATTATGCAGAGAATTAGTTTCTTACAGATTTTTTTCTTTTATTGAGATGAAAATGTTTATGACGACGAGGATTCTGGGAAAACAGAAGCCATTTTCGATGGCGTATAGAAGAGGCAGCAACAAAGACACAAAGGGAAGCAAATAGACTAATACGGACATGAAGCTCCTTTGATTTATTTAACGATTTAAAGAACAACCCTGCAATCCTAATCTGAGGATCTGTGACTGGATATTTCAAAATACAAGACAACCTGCTCGGACGATTTCAAGCCTGAAGCAAATGGGATTTCTCTCTGAACGATTTTAGTATTTCAAAATAACAGATTTCAGAAGGAGGCGGAGACTTTGACTCTACCTGAAATCATCACTTATATTAATCTACAAAAACTGGAGCCGGAGTTTTTGGAAGAAGGAGAATGAAACATGTATTGTAAAATCAAATCTTATATTGTTCCTATAATATTATGAAGACAGGGGGAATCTTTACACGTTTTATGTACTTCATTTTTCTTTTGTTTCAACAAGGGTGGGATCTTAAATTGAAGTTTATTTTTTTGTGGAAAGACTGAAGGAAAATTTGGGAGATTGAAAACCCAGGTGCAGTATTTTTAGTTTTGTTAGTTAATGGTTTGAGATTTAATCAACGTTCTGCTGATAAAACATTTCTACTACAAACCAAAATCCATAGTGAGAATTCATCGAAAAAAGCACAAAAATACATAAATGTTTGTTAAACAGTTTACGCATCAAAACACACCTTTATGGAAACATCAGATCTGCATCTTAGGTATTATTAAGAAGCCCATTTCTGCCAAAAAAAGACAAACAGGTATAAAAAGTTTGGAGGCTGAGAATTATAAAGATTCATTGTAAATAATCCCAAATCTAAAAGACCGAAAAATTGCAAAAATGTTGTGATAATTTAGGCTGAATTCTCAAAGGATTGAATAGAAATGATTACAGTTGATTTACTTTCCCTTCGTAATAGAGTTCACTTTAAGAATTAAAGGTTCTGATGACATGTATTGTAACTTTTGCTATACTTATAAATTAATCTGTATGGCTCAATAGCTCATATTTTATTAACAGTCTTTTACCATTCCTAACATTTTATCATTATTTGTTATATTTTTTGTGGCAGAAAGGGGCTTATGTACTTACTGAAAAAACCACACAACTGCCATTGTGATTAAAGTGGTTTCACATCATATGTTAGAAAATAATCATTTTAACTTGAAAAAACGTTTAAAGACATGTTTTTCAGCATCATTTGGTTCATTTATGCAACAAAATTCTGAATGAAACAGAAAATGTGGGGTCTGTTATTTGATATAATTGAATATCAGTCAATTTGATTAACTGACAGTGGGTTTCACAAAGTGTTTAGGATTCGCTGTGACTTTAGAAAAAACCCGTTTGTAATGTTTTTACTTAAGAATAATGCTGATTCATCACTTACATCTCAGCCACTGTTACCCTCACATTAGACTTTGATGCGTTTAACAGAGGATTTATTAGATAACTCATACTCTCGGATAAACATCATTTCTTTTTAATGTTATGCTGATTTTTTTTTCATCCCTGTGGCGACACTTTTCTTCTCTATTTGTTTTTCCACTGCAGCTAATAATCTGATTTTTATTATAGCTCCTCTGGGTGTCAGTTTATCCTCCTCTGCATGATTATCACATTAACTCTGTTTATGTGGCATCCCTGGAGATGATTAGTCACATCTGATCTTAGCACAAATGGGTTTCTTTAAATAACGGGGTCCAAACAAAGATGGCAGCCAACAACTGATCATTGTTTCGGTAGACTTTTTTTTTTTTATGGATCCTAGTGAAAATAAAAATACACTCCCATTGAGAAATCAGATACTTAAATACAATGCTAGAAAAGTATATTATAGCACATTGGCAGGGATATTTACTGTCTCCTATTTAGAGACCACATTTCCCAGAAGTCCTGTTCTATAAAACACACTTTTTGCATCAATGTTTGCTGTAAGAATTTTCCCATATCAATCTTTGAAATCAGTTGAGTCACTCAGGCTCTCATAGGCAAAACATAAATTGAGACCTTTGTTACAAAACCGTTAAATGTTCCGTCCATATGATAATAGTCGTCTTGCCTCGTCAAAGACTATGCTGCAGTGGAGAAACTCTTCCTCATTTATTACCCTGGGGTTATATGTTATATTTGCATTTTGGGGGGGATGGTGTGAGGGGCAATACAATAACAACTTTAAAAAAGCCACCAACACAACTGTGGACGTGTGAAGAAAGATATTTTTATAACTGTGATTATTCTCTGCAATATATTCTCAGATCAGTTAGAATGACTGAAGGTTACACTGCATTCTGGTTATTATTATTATGATTATTATTAATAATAAAAATACACTCCAAATGTAATTTCTTACGGTTTTCTTTCTTGGCGTCTTTATGCTGTATTGTGTGTCAATCTGTGTGTTTGTATTCATCACCTTGTGGGGACATAAACCTGTTGAAATTTGTGCCTTGTTGGGCTCATAGAGGTGGGGAATCTTGTACACTGTCCTTGTCAGGTCTTTCTTATTCAGTTAATCCTTGTCGGGACTGTCCTCGTAGATGTTCCTTGTGAGGACTCTATTCTCATAGGAATATTGTGAGGACTCTCCTGGTACATGATCATAGTAGGGACTCTATAGATGATCCTTATGAGGACCTTTCTTGTAAATTATCATTGTGGGGCCTTTCCTCGTAGATTTTCCTTGTGGGGACTCTCTTTATAAATTATCATTGTGGGAACTATACTTGTAGTTGTTCATTGTGGGGACTCTTCCAGTAGATGATCCTTGTGGGGAGTCTCTTTAGAGATTATTATTTTAGGGACTCTACTTGTAGTTGGTCCTTTTGGGTACTCTTCCAGTAGATGATCCCTGTGGGGACTTTTCTTATAGTTGGTCCTTGTTGGGACTCTTCCAGTAGATGATCTTTGTGGGGACTCTCTTGAGAAATTATCATTGTGGGGACTCTACTTGTATTTAGTCATTGTGGGGACTCTTCCAGTAGATGATCCTTGTGGGGACACTCTTTATAGATTATCATTGTGGGAACTCTACTTGTATTTGGTCATTGTGGGGACTCTTCCAGTAGATTATCCTTGTGGGGACTCTCGGACTCTACTTGTAGTTGGTCCTTGTGGGGACTCTTCCAGTAGATGATCCTTGTGGTATCTCTCCTCTAAAATTGACCATCTTTTTTCTCTCAGGCACATGCTTGGTATTACTAGCCTCCAATTAACAAAGTACTTCAAAGCAATGCATTGTCCTCACAAATGACAAAAACCTGTTAGTACCTTTCAGAAACATGTCTACACACTAACATTGTGGAGACCCTGAACTCTAAAAAGTACATTTGACAGTACAAACTTGTGTTTATTTAAATATCTTTAGGCAATGCAATAAAACATAAATGCTTGTAAATGTTGGAGTTCATAGTAAAGACCTGCCATTGTTTTAATTCAGTCAAAAAACGTAAAGAAAAACAGGATGTAATTTCTCTGATTTAAACAAAATGACTGACAGCTCAAAATTGACCGGCTAATGAGAGTCTTGAGTGAACAGGGGGGGAAATGAATGACAAACTCTACCATCTGGATGGGCATTACAAATTATAAAGAGCCAACTTCAATTAGACCCGCTGTGTTTTATTTAATGAAGTGAAGCCCTACACGATCAAATGACAGAACAAAATAATTAAACCTAATTACAAATTATAGACATTATTTCCTGATGTTTCAGTTGGACATCATTTGTATCTTTGATACTTTTTGATCTCTAACAGAGTTTAAGAGAAAGATATTTGATTTAAAGTATGGAGAGAGATATGTGTCCTCCACAAAGATCTAGTGGTGTTTATACATTTATAAAGTTTGTACTCACCTCTGCAAAGGGAAATACCTCCCTAAAAAGTGTGATGCTATGACATTGACATTTTACCATTGTTGTTACTGCTCCTCCGAGTCAATGTACTAAAAGAGAGCATCATTTGTAAATATCATATATTTTCTAAGCTATGTTAGTAATGAATCTATAAAAAATAGGATGACAGCAGCTCCCAAATGTAGTTTAGTTAAGTAAAAGTAAAATATATTCTAATGCATTAAAACAGTCAAAAAGTACCTGTGACATAAGGAGGCTACAGATAAGTTGCTGTTGTAGTTTAAAGTAGCATCTCTCTTCCACCGGAGAATAAATAAAGATTTCTTGCAGATTAACTCGTCCTGGTTCTGGTCCAGGACTCTCGGGTTTCTGTCCTTGGCGTGCTGCTGCTTCTGCTGCTGTGGATGATTTGTGTTTCTCCATTACGTTTACATTGAAAGTATAATTAATAGTCTTCTGGGATCTTCTCAAAGCTGGACCATTCATCAGCTCTGACAGGATGCTGCCGGCTAACGTCTCCGCTGGCTGAACGTCTTTGGCGCGGTCGCCTTTTTTATCACCGTTTGTTATTTACTGAATCCAGCCCGGCGCCACGGCTGGCTAATGGCCACCATTCATCATCCCTCAATTGATTTTCAATTTCAGTGCTGCTGTGTGCTAAGCAGATCAGAGTCGGGCCGGTCTGTTTTCTGGAGTGGATATAAGTGTGTTTGTTAAAGCCCTGAGGAGACTGCAGTTATGTGGTGGGTGGAGACTCTGACTTAAATGTGTTTTAAAGTTGTTTTTCTTCTAATTCATTCAACCTCAATTTACCTGGTTGTGCGAGGAATGGCATGTTTGTGGTCTTAACATGTCACGTAAATCACCCATTTGATGAAAGATTTCACAAAATGAGTTAATTGTCTCAAAAGCCTGGTTGTTTTTTTAAGTTCTGTGGTCTTTCAACACATCAAAAACTTTTAAACAACTTCCACTTCTGCTGTTTTAGTCCCTGATTTCTTTAAAGTCTTGCAACAGTGTTTTAAATAATCTCACCTGAACCTTGGGACCAACCTTAAGACGATCTGAAATCAACAAAGACAAACCAATATTAAGATGGCTGCTACAAACTTGCACAGATTTTTTATTTGGCTTTAATTGGCAACCTCATGACACCAGAGAAATGCAGTGATTCACCGCTAAGTAGCAACCGGAGATCAGGAAGTACGACTTTGCAAACTAGCCGATGTTCTTGCACCAACAAAAAAAACATGGATGCTAACCACCTTTAAACATCCAATGGATAATTTGCAATGACATCTCAGTAGGAAGCCTCGACAAAGCGGCTCCGTGTCATTTTTCCGTGGAATATGCATTACTCTGACATTGTTAACATTTTCAAAGGCAAAATGTAGAGTTGAATAAAGAGTTATTCGCCTGGAGGTGAAAGAAATATAAATGGAAGAGGATCAGGAAAAACCAAAGTGGATTAAATGATGTTGATTAAATGTAACATCAGATACCTGAAAACTGTGATCTAGCCTTAACTAATGTGGAAAAGACTTGAATAACTTAGCAATAGAGTAGTATTTTTCTCGATGGATGGTCATTCGGATCGCCCTACCGCTTAGATCCAGACTGAAATATCCCAACATTTAGTGGATGGATTAGCAGAACATTATCAGGGCTGCTAGCTAACTAAGATGCTGTGAACCAGTCCTTCTCCTGATGCTTTCATCCAGCCTCAAACTGACAGTACAAACCAAACTGAGTGTTCCCTGTTCAATGTGTCTTCTGTCGTGGGAACAATCATCTCTCACATCTTTTATTTTCTTTGAATAGTGAGTTCAAACAGCAGCACGTCTCCTCGTGGCGTCCACAGATCTCAGTGAATTCTCGGCGGAGTCTGTTGTGAAGGTGGAGGTGGTGGGGGGGTTTCTCCGTTGTCTTGTTCGGATCAGATAAGCTTTTTAGGCAGCACATTTCAGCTGTCATCTGAACACAGAGCTGCTCTCTCATCTGGCAGTCAACCTGATTGAAGCAGACGCTTTATAAGGTGCTGAAGGTGTGACTGTGTGAGGATCAGCTGTCTTTATTCTAACGGAGCGCTGAGAAGACTCACTGAAGACATTGAAGCTCAGCAGCCACCAGGAGTCCTCCGGAATCAAAAGTAAGAAGTTTATGTTAAAAAAACTAGAAATACTACATATATTATAATATCACAAGTGAGAGTAGTTGATTCAATTATTATTGGATTATAATTGTAGCTCTCTTCACGACACAGACACAGGTCGGTTCTTTAAAACGGGCGTTTATTTATTGGAGTTTTCATTTTGTAGCCTCCCCTCTTCCGTTACGCTCGTTTTAACTACAACAACGAATTACACATATACATAGCCAAACACATTAGCAAAGTACGCTACACATATATGAATGAAAATATATAAACGAAAATAGGACACATGAAAACATAAATACCTCGTTGGCCGCATGTCGCGAAAGGAGATTAATCTTTAAAGTTCCTTTTCCGAATAACCTTCTCAAAATTATAAATGTGTCACAGACTTCAGCAGAGCTTCAAATAAAGACGTCAACCCATGTTGAGTTGTCCAGTGTATCAACAAAACATGCTGTACCAGTACATGAACAAACATTAGTTCCTCGACAAAATA